ATAGAAAGAATCCACAAACAACCCACAACCCAACTATATATGGCAAGACATAAATGGCAATAATGGTAGGAGCACAAAAACTGGTTGATTATGAGAAACGTTCTAAAATTATTATTAGTAATAAACCCTTACTTTAAAACACTTTACTTTTGATCGAGATAAAGTTGGGGATTAATTAAAGCAACACTGCACAGCTTTTCACCCCGTATTATTTTACCTGAGATGATTCAATGTAATTTATAGCATTGATGCTCAGAGTGGGCTGCTATATGTAACTAGAGAGGGTCTGATGAGTCATGTGACCAAAAGCACCAATCTAGGTCACATAAGTCCTGGGCCCAATCATCCAAACCCGCTGCTAAACCTTATAGTTATAGTTAATTTTATAGTGAATGCGGAACTGTACGGGGAGCCAGTGGAGCTGTAGGAGGACCGGAGTGATGTGGTGGATAGAGGGAGTTCTGGTTATGATGCGAGCAGCTGAGTTCTGGACCAGTTGTAGTTTGTGGAGTGATTTCTGAGGAAGTCCAAAGAGGAGGGACTTGCAGTAATCTAATGGGGAGGTGACAAGGCTGTGCACAAGTATGGCAGTAGTGTGTGGGGTAAGGGAGGGACGGAGGTGGTTGATGTTTCTTAAGTGGAAGTAGGCAGAACGGGTAATGTTATTTATATGGGATTGGAAAGATAGTGTGCTATCGAGGATGACACCCAGACTCTTAACCTGGGGGGAGGGGGAGATGGAGGAATTATCAATAGTAACTTGGAAAATGTCAGTTTTGGAAAGAGTTGATTTGGTGCCACTGTTTACTGTTTAATTGAAGGAAGTTGTTGGTGAAACAGGCTTTTATTTCACAGATGCAATTTGTGAGGGAGGCGGGCGGAAGAGAGGACAATGGGTGCTTGGTGAGGTAAAGCTGGCATAGCATCGGCATAGCAATGGAAGTGGATGTTTAATTTATGGAAGACTATTGCCAAGGGGAAGGAGGTAGATGATGAAGAGCAGGGGCCCCAGGACAGAGCCCTGGGGCACACCTGAGGTGACGGGTGGATTTGAGGGTCTTCATGTACCGAGTGCAGTCAGTAAAGTAGGAAATAAACCAGTGATGCCTGCTGAGGAGGGTGGTGTGACAGATGGTGTCGAAGGCTGCACTCAGGTGGATGAGGATGAGGATGGTGAGCAATCCAGAATCAGATGCCATGAGGAGGTCATTGGTCAATTGGTGATTCTTGTGTTTTGCAACTGGCGCCACAGAGCTACAGCCACGCACATGGGGTGTCTCTGAGTTGCTGTAGCAACGACACCATTGGGCCAAAGGGAGCTGAACCTTGTAGGGTCTTTGTTTGTTGTAAGGCAACAGCACAGGAATCCATCCACCCAATCAGAAATATTTAGGATTGAACCTTTCCATGATTTCACAGCCTGCTGGTCCAAACTGCTCCGTTATCAGATTCCACTGAGCTGACTGCAGTATTACCAGTTTATTTCAGGATATGCTATAAGGCAACACAATTTCATCTTAACCTTTTTTATCTGCTCCATCCAAACTTTTCTATTTTCCTTTGGTCTAGAGTCTCATCCTGACACAAAGTTTGTCACCATTCAACACTAAACGCCCCAAAGGTCCCACAGCTCATTTAAAGCTCAGAACAAACTGAAAACATGTTAATGTTTAACCATCTGCAGAGCTAACAGAAGAAGGCTCGGTCTATGTTTGCATATCTTACCTTTAATATATTTCACCTTGCTTCCCAAACTTGTAATGAAGTACAAATACTTCATTACAAGTAATTATTTTAAAAACTTTAATATAAGCTCATTTTCATTATGGCCTGTTGGTATAAAAAAACCATCAAAATTATATAGCTTGCACAAATGAAATAGTTTTTTTAAGCTGATGCAAAGTTAAATGTGACTCTGTTACCATTAATTATAAAACTAAGAAACTGGAGTTTAAGGAAGTTATCATCCAGAATGGTAGAAAAATGTCACTTTATTAGAGTAGAGCAGTAAAGTTTCTGGCCTTAACAGTTTTTCCTGCATTACTTTTACTTTTATACTTTAAGTAGTTTTAAAAAATTTACTTTTAGACTTTTACTGGAGTAAAAAGCTGAAGTTGATCCTTTAACTTCTATAAAAGTGTTTTTAAACAGTAGGATATAAAGGTTTGGAAAGCCTGTGTGTGGGATGTGGCGGTGGAGCAGCGGTGGAGCAGCGGTTACACGTGTGAGCAGAGGCTTTGGTCCTTAACGTGACGGTCACAGGTTCAAGTCCTTTCGCCACATGTGTTCCCCCTCCCACCAATAAATAAATCAAGACTACTGGTGCCAGAAAAAAAAGCTTTAAAAAAAGGAGGCCCATCTGTCAGCTGATGTTGATCATTTTGCAGCAATCTCCTCATGTATGAAACAAACATGAGCAAGCACATCATGTTGGCTCTATGTCTGGGTGAAACATTCCCAAAGATGGATGCATAGGATGGTTTAAACCCAGTTTCTGGTTCCGTCTCTCTCCTTTAGAAAGAACATGAAAGCACAGTGAAGGCTCAGCTGGAGGAAAAGTTTGATAAAACGGGCTTATTTTCTAAGGCTTGCTAAACAAACTCCCAAAGTCTCAAGGCATAGTTTAAAACACGTTCATATCTATACGGTATGTCAGAATGTCACTGTATGCATTTTACTGTAAAGCACATATGCAAATTTTGTATTTTTTCTAAAAACTCTGTTATTGACTTGCTTCTAAACTTGACTGTCTGTGTGGAAACTCTGAACCCTTTAAATTTGCATGGTGACCAGGAGATCAGTGAAGCCTCCATGTCCGTGTTTCACTACCAACCAAATGAGTTTGTGTCACAGAAATATTTTAAAAAACTCAATTTTTGCCCTTTTTTTCCTACTAAACAACTTAAATAATGCAGTAGGACAAATAGGGCTACATCTATTTTATTTAATTTTTCAGTTAAATTATCTTTTAGTCTGGATTTAGATGACATGTCTGTGAAAGTCCATCATGCACAGCCTGTGACCCCGTCTGCTCTGCAGCCTGAGGTGTGATACCTGCTGTGGAAGCAAAGTCACAGGAAACAGCGTCTAAACGATCCTCAATGTTTCTCTGGTTCTTTAGTGTCAGAGTTTGCATTTAATGTTTAAAGCCAGGAGAAAACAACATAGCTGCATCCTGCTAGCATGCAACAACGTGTTTAAATATAAAGAGAGAACAGAACAATATTTAAGACATAAGTAATGATATTTTCTTGGATTTTACAGTCATTTGCTCTAGTTTTACAGCTCAGCTGTGTTCTTTCATTTTGCCTTACACAGCAGGTACTTTAGAGTGAAATGTGCCATTCTGATTTTGATTATGCTTAAAGCAGTCTGCATATTCAGCATTTATATGTATTAAAAACTTGCATTTGCATGTTCTGAAGTGCCTTTTAATCCTAATCTGCTTGGTTTCCAATAAGAAGATTCCTGAGTAACATATTTTTGCTGTAACTGTGTTGGATAAATAAACCTTGAACTGGACAATAAAATTATTTACGTCTTAACATAATTTATTGGGATCTTTTCTCATTCAGCATGAAAGCAAACAGAAGAAAAGCTTCTGCCTGTTATCTGATTATTGTTTATTGTGCATAACTAGGAGATCTAGCACTACAAAAAGAATAATGCAGCAGAATATTTTCACAAAAACGTGTGGCAGTATAGAGTAAGAGGCAGATCTACAATTGAGGTCTTGCTTTGATTGGTTCTTTACACCAGCTGGCTTCCTTGGTTCTGCTGACATGCTACCCCTCTGACTTCAGGCATTGGTTGTTCTGTTGGCAGTGGTGGCCTCTGGATATACCCAAGTTTTTATCACCATTGTAAGTCCCATTGTGACACCCTGTCTACTTTTAAGGCTAGGCTTAAAACTTTCCTTTTTGAT